ATAAAACAGAGGCCCAGGCTGGCCCAGGTGTGCATTACGGGTTGGAGGGCATGCAGTAAAGATTGCAGGGCAGTGAGTTGCTGCCTGCAGAGGCCACGATGCCTGTAGTCCCAAGTCTGCCCACCAGTGATGCATCCACCCTGGTTTCGGGGTGCCTCTTTGTCTCCTTCTGTTTGTCTTTCTGTGTATTCTTTTGCTATCTCTATCGCTGCTGGATCTCCCCTCCTTGTGAACCAAACACTCGTGAACAACACTACTATGTCGAGGACAGTCCCCGACATTTTATAAGACAGCACTCAGAAGCAATTAGATTTAGGACCCACCCAATCCCATATGACCTCATTAACACAACAGAACAAAACCTGTCCCCAAACAGGTACTTGTTTATAGGGACAGGGATTAGAGCTTTCACTTGCCTTTTCTGGAGATACTGTTCAGTCCTGGCCCCATGTTTTATACGGCAATCTTGTAGTTGTTGTTGGGCCCCATCAAGTCAGCCCCAAGTGATAGAGTAGAACTGTCCTCAGAAGGCCTCCAAGGTGTCGTTTTGCAGGAACAGATGGCTAAGTATGTGCTGTTGGTAAGTGCTCTCAAGTCAGTTCTGACTCATAGCAACCCTGTGTAAGGTTTCCAAGGAGATAGATGCTGGTGGGCTTGAACTGCCCACCTTGTGGTTAACAGTCCAGTGCTGATCCTACAGCAACACACCAGGACAGAGTGGTTAGTGGGTTCGAACTGGCAACCTTTGACTTTTCAACTGAATGATTAACTATTGTGTTTCCAAGGCTCCTTTAGTCTTGTTCAGAGTCTCTCACTCACTCTGCCCCTAGCTCAGGAACACATCTATACCCACTGAACCCAGAAAAAGGGTTCACTGACCTGCAGATGTGTTCATTAGGAGCTACTTCTAATCATCCTAGCAGATACTTCCTGCACCCAATAAAGAGGTGCAGTATTTCTTGTTTGGAGTTACTATAGAAAGTATGTGGACGGTTCGTTTCTATGCGAGAAAGAAGAATGAGCGCTAGAGTAATTAATTAGGAGCTGTTTCCAGATGCAAATGGACTGAAACTATGAGGCTACTTAGAAATTGTTGTTGTTGTTAGGTGTTGTCAAGTTGTTGATTCATTACTGGTATTTTCTCCCATGGAGTCACTCAGCACTTAACAATTGCACAACCAATGCGCCTTAGAAATAGTTTGTTGTTGTTGTTGTTAACTGTTATCAGGTTGGTTCCAGCTATTATTGGCCCCAGGCACAAGAGGACAAAATGTTGCTCCGTCCTTCACCTTCCTCACGATTGTTGCTGTTTAATCCCACTGTTGAAGACACTGTGTCAATCCAGCTTGTTGAGGGTCTTCCTCATTCATATTCAGAGTGCCTTCCAACTTGAGGGGTTCATCTTCCAGCATTCTGTCAGACAGTGTTCCTCTGTTACCCATATGGTTTTCTTTATTCCTCTGTTTTCTTTCCAGAAATGGATCACCAGGTCTTTTTTCCTAGTCTTTCTTATTCTGGAAGTTCCTCTGAATTCTGTCCACCAGGGGTGACCCTGCTGGTATTTAAAATACTGAAGGTATAGCTTCAAGCACCATAGCAACATGAAGGACAGACTGACAGAGAAGAGGTGGAGCTCATACAAGGTCTAATTTTTGCTTTCCATTTCTATTTCCACTTCCAGCTCAGAAGCTTAAGCAAAGTTCTCAAGAGGCACTTGAGTGGAAAAAGTCACTTCCCCAACCTCAAGAAACAGAATTTCGACGGAATTACCAAATACCAGCCCAAATGCCTGAGTATCAGAATTTTAGTTTCAAATACGGGTGCTACTCAAGCCAGGCTGTTGCTTCTCAGGGTATAGGTAAGGAAATCTGTACCTTTAAAAATTACTTTATAGATCATATTCCCTCACTTAGAGTCCTGGTGTGGTGCTATAGGATAAAGCACAAGACCACAAGGTCAGTTTGAACCACAAGGTCAGTGGTTCAAACCCACCAGCCGCTCCTCAGAAACCCTATACAGTTTTGCTATGAGTTGGAGCCATTTCAACGGCACTTCACAACAATATCCCCTCACTTAGTACACAGGGTGCAAGCAAACAATCTTGGTAAATCGGAGAGGATGCCAACGACAGCCTCTGTGTGGTGTCTAGCCTCATTAGGGGATGGGTAAGCTCAGAAGAGAATAGATTGTTTATGTTGTGAATTCAGGTCATTTTCTGCCTGGGAGGGACCATTGGGGATGAGGAGATACCAAGCCCCCCATTATCAAATCAAAGGAAGAATGCAAAAAAACAAAAACCTATTGCCTCCAAGTCTATTCCAACACTTTGCAGCCCTATGAGACAGAAGAGAAACGCCTCACAGGGTTTCCAAGGCTATCATAATGATGGAAGCAGACTGCCTCATCTTCTTCCCATGGAGTAGCAGCTGGGTTTGAACTGCTGACCTTTTGCTTAGCAGCTGAGCACTTAACCACTGCACCACCAGGATCCTTCAGAAAAGATACAGTTATTGAAAAAGTGATTAGGTGAGAGTCAAATTAGACTCTGAACTGTCCACTGGAAGTTTATCCACATAGTAAGTCCTTTAAACGTTTAGTGGCCATTCTAGGTTAGTGGATGTTCTTTTACAATCCTGATATGCACTGATTTCAACTGAAGAGTTGTTAAGAGTTCCAGGACCAAGCCACCTCCAAGCTACTGGTCGACAAGATGACCTGTTATCAGTCTGAGACAGTCTTTTTTTTTTTTTTTTTTCCCTGTCTAGACTTGAAATCAAGTAGTACTTGTGATAAAAACTACAGAAGTGTAACATCTTGGGGTCAAGATTTGAGCTAGCCTAGTTCCTCATGTCACACCTGAATCCTTTCCATTCTATCCTTGTCATTAGTAGATGCCATTGAGTCACTGTTAACACATAGTGACCCACATGTCTCTGCTGTTTTGTGTCATCAAGATAATTCCTATTTATAGTGACCCTGTAGGACAGGGTAGAACTGCCCCTGTAGGACTCCCTAGGGTGCGGTCTTTATGGAAGCAGACTGGCAGGTCTGTCCCCTGAAGAGGCACTGGGTGGGTTCAAATCACCAATCTTTCTATTAGCAGCTGAGTGCGGAATTGTGGGAACACCAAGACTTCTTTCAGCATCCCTGCTCAGACTCTTCAATGGAGCGCGTCACCCTCTTTCTGGTGTCCTGGAACTCCAACGCTTTAACAGGGCTCTGTGGAGTCTTCCTGACAGAAACTCTGAGTCAGTGATTCTTCTCCTCACAGACATTGACTATTTTAAATCTTGTTCTTGCTAAATGCTGTCAAGTCAGTTACAACTCGTAGTCACCCCGTGTAGGGTTTCCGAGGAGCAGCTGGTGCTTTTGAACCACCAACTTTGCAGTTAGCAGCCCAGTGCTTACTCTACAGTGCCACCCCAAGATGCCACTCTAAATCTACTAGTCTACAAAGCCAAACAAATCCAGTTGTCACTGAGTGGATTCCAAACCATGGCAACTCCGTGTGTGTCAGAGTGGAGCTATGTTCCGTAGGGTTTTCAAAGCCCGATCTTCTCAAAGTAGATCACCTCCTTTACAAGATGCCTCTGCATGGACTCAAACTTCCAGCCTTTTAGTTAGCACCTGAGCACATTCATGATTTTTACCACCCAGGGAATCCAGTGGCTTTAGGAAAACTTTATCATATGCTTCCAAAGTCTTCTCATCTCCAGTTACAACATTCTAGATTCTCAATCCATTCTTCTCAAATCCCCTCAACATTTTTCCATACTCCTTTTAAAGGGAGCACCTGCAACTGAAAACAATTGCTTAAGGTATCCATAAAATTTACAAATATTGGCCAAGTTGTATAAATTGCAGCCTCACATCATGTCTTCCTTACTTGGTTTTATAAAGATCCCATTTATATCAGAAGCTACATTAAATGAACATTATTCAGAATTAAATATAAGGGTTCCTTTGGGTTGCTTGTACCTCATACTTCCATTGCTCTGGACAATGAGTGTTGGCTGTAAGCATCTTCATTCTTCCAAACTGCTCATCCTAAGAGGCTTAGGTCCCTGAAGGAAGTCTCTTACCATGTCAAGTCTGCACAAGAGACACCATGAAAGAAAGAAAGAAAAAAAAACTTCTATGAAGTTGTCTTAGTCTGGGTTCTCTAGGGGAACAAAACCAGTGAGATGTGTATGTAAATATCTACAGAGGTTTACCTCCAGGAAATGGATCCCACAACTGCGGGGGCTGGCAAGTCCCAAATCCATAGATCAGGCAGCAGGTGAGAGGTCTCTGCTGACTCACTGGATTGTGGGGGCTGGAGAACCCAAAATCTTCAGTGAGGCAGCAGGGTGGTGGTTTCCACAGACTTATGTCCTGGGAACCAGAAGTCACATGACAAGAAGAGTTCAGGGTCTAGACAGAACAAGCTCTGTCAGAACATTCATTTATAGACTGGAGGCAGGCCACACCCCCAAGGGAATGCCCCCTTCAACTGATTGGTTGATCACATCGGATTCTAGCATGGATGCACATTATAGTACATTATCTTACATTACATTATAGAACAGCAGCCAATCCGCTCTCAGGCCAAACCACTGCGAATCAAGTGGACACGTAACATTAACCATCAGAGAAGGCATTTGTTTATTAAGCAGGTGGTGAATATTACCATCTTAACACATTTATCTACAGAAGAGTAGAGTTCAGAAGGAGCTTTTCTGAAACTGATGGTCAGACTCAACTTTGTGGCTGGTGTCTCCCATGGTTCCCAGTTTCAACAGGAATAGTCCTAAAGTTCCAACAGGTGTGCTCCCCCATCCCACACAAACCAAACCTAGAGATATTGACTTGATTCCTACTCATTACAACTCCTTGGGTGGCACTTAGCTGTACTCTTTCTACAAGTCTTTCTTCTATGATAACCCGGGTGGGTTTGAACCACTAGCCTTTAGGTCAGCTGTTGCTGGCAGGAGCCTACTAGTCTGCACTGAATAGCAACCCTATGACTAACAGAATGAAGCAATGCTTGGTTTGTTCCTGTGTTTGAAATCACAGTGTCATTCCATCTCTTTGCAAGTCTTCCTCTTTTTCACTGATCTCTTACTTTACCAAGCATGATGTCCTTCTTCAAGAACTGGTCCCTCCTGCTAACGTGTCCAAAGTACATGAGATGAACTCTCTTTCTCTTAACTTGTAAGGAATCCTCTAACAGATGCTCCAAGACAGATGTTGTATCCTTTTGGCAATGTATGGTACATTCAATATTCTTCACCAACATGATAATTCAGATGCATCAGTTCTGCTTTAGTGCCCTTGAGTTGGTTCCAACTCATAGCAACTCTGGGGTTTCCAAAGCTTTGTTAGTTCTTCTTGGATCTTGTTTATTCACTGTCTAGCTTTTGCATGCATATAGTGCAAATGAAAATTCCAGGCGTGTGTCTATCCTCATGCTGGCAACTTTACCTTGTACATAAAAAGAGTTCTTTTGCAGCAGATTTGCCTAATGCAATTCATCATTTGATTTCTTGGCTGCTGTTTCCATAGACGTCGATTGTGGACCCGATAAAATGAAACCGTTTACAACTTCAATAATTTCTCATGTATCATGATGTTCTTTACTGGCCCAGTTGTGAGGGGTTTTGTTTTCTTTATATCGAAGTGTAACCATACTGAAGGCTATTGTCTTTTATCTTCATCAGAAAGTGCTTCAAGTCCTCTTTCGTTTCAGCAACTAAGGATGTGTCAGCTGCGTATCGCAGGTTCTTAATGAGTCTTCCTATAATCCTGATGTCATTCTTGGATTATTTGCTCAGCATACAGATTGAATATGTATGATGAAAGGATACAACCATAACACATACCTTTTCCCTAATTTTAAACCACATGGTATTCCTTTGTTCTGTTTGAATGAATGCATCTTGGTCTTTGAGCAGGTTCCTCATGAGCACAATTAAATGTTCTGGAATTCCCATTCTTTGCAATGTTAACCATACTTTTTCATGATCCACACATTCAAAAGCCTTTACATAGTCAATAAAACATAGCAAACATCTTTTGATGATACTATTCCTCTTCAACTTGTCATTCCCAGCATGGTTATCCAATTCAAAATGGTCAATACCGATCCATTTCTGCTCACTAATGCCTAGGATATCAACCTTTATGTTCCAGTTCATTTTTTATAACTTCCATTTTTCCTAGATTCATACTACATACATCCCATGTCCTGATTATTAATGGATGTTTGCAGCTATCCCTTCTCATTTTGAGCTCTGCTCCATCAGCAATGGAAGATCCAGAAAGCTTTACTCTATTCACATCATTAAGGTCAGCTCTATTTCTAGTCCCTTCCAGTCTGAAGGACTCATCTTCCGACACTGTATCTGACAGCGTTCCCTTACTATGCATGAGGTTCTCAGTGGCCAGTTTTTAAAGAAATGGATCACGAGGTCCTTCTTGGTAATCTATCTTTGTCTAGAAGTCCCGATGAAACCTGTCCACCTTGAGTGACCCTGCTGGTATTTGAAATACCGGTGGTATAGCTTCCAGTCTCATAGCAACATGTGGGCCATGATAGTACCACAGACGGACAGACGAGGGGTGGGAGTTGAGTGTAAACTGTTTGGACCACAGTTCCAAAGAAATGGAGGAATCAGTTTATTGTCATTTTTTAGTTTACAGTAACATTAAGCATATAGCTTTAGCTCACATTTGGACTGGGATGAAGCTGTTCAAAACCCCAGAGGAAGTATTCTTTGCTTTGATAGCAGCTTCCATTTCTTTCTCTTATGTATCCCATAGTCCCTTCTGTGCTTCACAGCTTCATGAGGAACCAGGGGCTTGTCAAGAATCAGACCACATACCAGAGTCATTTTGGAAATGCCTGCTTGGATTTCTTAATGATTTTAAACTCACTTAACCCCTCTCAGATCACAAAATACCTGAACAAGGCTTCCTACAAAGGTAAGAAAAAGTCTTAAATTGTTGCTAACGTCTTCGCAGAGCATAATAAATTGCGCCGTGCCAAATAGAAATCGTTCCCATTCCAGTGTACTGGAGTTTGATATTCTCGAAAAGGAAAATATTGCTTCTCTAAACATCCCACTGAGCTGTGCAATCCTCAGTCCGCTGAAAGGAGCCGTCTCCTCAAGAGAGGTCTCAGTGAAGGTACTCTGCTTACAGAAAGGCCACATAAGGGCTTTCACCACCTCCAGTCCCATTTTAGGTTGAATTGGTTGAATTGGTCCAGGATGACTTCTCTATATCTTATAGCTCATTGTTTTCTTGGTGGGTGTTTATACAATTTCATGGTTTGGTTTTATTTAAACTTACCTTCTCCTTTGGTGGTGCTTTGTACTGTGACAGGCTTTTAAATCTTTTATTGAGGGAAGTATACAGATAGCAAAGCACTTGCTGCCTCAGTGTTGTTTACACGAGCAGTTCAGTGACATTCACTACAGTCAGCATGTTTGCAACCGCAACCCCGATCAGGATCAGAAGCTCGGCAATGAATTCCTCATTTCCTTCCCTCCCACACTTGGGAACATATAAACTCTGGTCTTTCCACCCTTGTCCAACTAAGGAGCTCTGGTAATGTGATGGTTACAAGTCAGGCTGATAACCTCGAGGTTGGCTGTTCGAAACTGCTAGCCTTTCCGCAAGAGAAAGATAAGGCTTTCTTCTCCTATAAAGTTTTACAGTCTCAGCCACCCTTTATAGGGTTCCTGTGAGTCAGAACTGACTCTGGTACACGCCCCCACAACACCACCACCACCTTTGCCTATTCTTAATAGTTCATAAAAGTGGGAACCTTCAATATCTTTTTGTGACTGACCTATTTCACTCAGCCTAATGTTTTCAGAGGAGCACCGTGGCAATGTAGGATAAGCACTGAACTTCAAATGTCAGAGTCGGCGATCAGAGCCCACCAGCCACTTTGTGGGAGAAAGATGAGGCTTTCTGCTTCTACAAAGTTTTACAGGCTCAGAAATCCTACACAGGGTAGCTGTGTACCAGAACATCGGCAGTACTTAACAATGTCTACAAGATTCAGCCATGTTATAGCATGCATCAAGACTCCATTTCTCTGTATGATGCCTCACTGCATGTGTGTACTACATTTTGTTGATCCGTTCTTCTGTTGATGAGCATTTAGGCTGTCTCCCACTCTTAGCTATTGGGAATCGAGCTACAGTGAACACCAGTGCCCTTGTGCCTGTTGATGATTTTGCTTTCAGTTCTTTGGGGTACACACCTAGGAGAGGAATCATTGAGTCAAGGACTGGACAACATCCCGTTCTGTTTATACACGGGGTCACTATGAGTCACAACTGACTCCATGACATCTCACAACAACAGTGCTAACTCTATGTTCGACTTTGTCAGGAACCTCCAGGCTGCTGTCCACAGTAGTTGCAGCGCACACTTTGCACCCCCTCTAGCAATGGATGAGGGGATTTCTAAGGCACATGAGAACCTTCATTTCTATATCCTCAGAGAGAGCAAATGCTGTTCCAGGCAGTTTTACTTCACTCCACAAAATGAAGACGCACTCAGTTCCGGGTCTTGTGCTATGGCGCTGTAGGATAAGCACTGGGCGTATGACAAGGTCAGCAGTTCAAACCCGCCAGCCATTCTCTGAAACCCTACACAGGATTGCTCTGAGTCAGAACCAACTCCATGGCACACGACAACAACAAGGGAAAACTAAGGAGTTCTTCCTGATGGCCTAACAGCTAAGTGTTAAGTGGCTACTGCAAGTCTGGCAGTTCAAACCTGCCCAGTGACTCCATGGGAAAAAAGATTTGGCAGTCTGCTCCCATAAAGATTGTTGTTGTTGTTGTGTGCTGTTGAGTCGGTTCCAACCCATAGCGACCCTGTGTAGGGTTTCTGAGACTATAAATCTTTACGGGAACAGAAAGCCTCATAGTTCTCCTGCGGAACCACTGGTAGTTTCAAACTGCTGACCTTGAGGTTAGCAGCCTGATTCGTAACCACTATGCTACCAGAGCTCCTTACAGCCAAGAAAATCCTATGGGGTTTCTATGAGTCAGAAATGACTTGACCGCAAATAACAGCAACAGCCCTCTCATTGAATACACACTCTATGAAGATAGGGATTTGTGTCTGGGCCTTTCACTGCTGAAGATCACCCCGAGTGGTGCAGTGGGTAAGCTATTGACTACTAACCCACCAACTGCTTCTCGCAGAAAGATGTTACAGTCTGTCCCCATAAAGATGACAACCTTGGAAACCCTAGGACACAGCTCTACTAGGTCACATGGGGTCACTATGAGTTGGAAGTGACTTGACAACACACGCAACTAAACACGTGTGTACACTGTTGTTGTTAAGTGCCGTTGCGTCAATTCCAACTCATAGTCACCCTGTTTTGGGTTTCCGAGGAGTGACTGGTGTATTTGAACTGCCGACCTTGTGGTCCTGTGCATTCTCCTGCAGTACCACACCAGGACTCCACACATAGAACTCAGACAGGCATATATACACACACGCACGCCGACTCCTCACTTGTCTGCTATCTCATTTTCCAGTTTTTCAGTAACTGGATAAAGAAAGTACTATTGACTATTATTCAGAGATGAAGAGATGAAGAGGCAGGGACATTAATTAACTTCTTAAACTTGCCTGATGTGACGCTGTAGGATAAGCACTGGACCGCAAGGTCAGTTTGAACCTCAAGTTTGGTGGTTCAAACTCACCAGCTGCTCCTCCGATTTGTGATGAATCAGAGCTGATGGTACAAAACAAACCTTGCCAGCACAGAAGGGAAATCTAAGTCTGTTTCATTAAAAACGCATGTTCTTTTTATTAAGTCTCATGGATCCCTTGAGTGTGAAGTTCTTTTTTAGTCAGTAATTATACAATTATGTCCTTTTAGGCGTGACACATAATGTCCTTTGGTTATTTTGACATTGAATTTGTACATACAGCATTCCTATCAGATATTTGCCTTCTTCCTAGATAGAACTGCTCTTATTTATCCAGTGGATATTTCATCCAATTTTACTTTATTTTCAGACAGACAAATTCTTGAACGCTTCATTCATTCTCATTGTGACCCCGATCAAGGAAGGCACAGAAAAGGACAGTCGATCGAATGAAGACAGTCTGAAAAGCTGCAGATGTGCTAGGGTCTGCCTGTTACCACAGAAAAGCAGGATGCTGCAAATTGCTCAAACCATGTGGTGATAATTGTGTCTTGTGTTATCTTGTCTAACCTCATTTTCTTAATAGAATTATATTTATTTTGTTCTTATTCAGAATATACACACCAGAATATACACCAGTGCAACAGATTCTGTATGTACCATTTGTTGTTGTTGTTGTGAAGTGCCGTCGAGTTGGTTCCGACCTATAGCGACTCTATATAGGGTTTCTGAGGAACAGCTGGTGAGCTTGAACTGCCGATCTTACAGTTTAAATGGCTTTGTAGTCTGGCGCATTAACCCACAGCTTGCTGTCAAATCGGTCCTGACTCATAGTGATTCTGAATAGGGTTTCCGAGGAGTGACTGGTGTGTTTGAACCGCTGATCTAGCAGTTCAAACCGACCTTGTGGTCTAGTGCTTACCCTATAGCACCACACTAGGACTCCAGGTACCCTTAGTGACACTGAATGCATTCACCATGAGTGGCCTTGTCATTCTTGTCCTTCTTTTCTGAATTGTTCCTTCCCTTTAACATAAATTCACTGCCCCCTAAGGTTCCTGTCTAATCTTTCTAGTTGCTCTTGTCAATTTGATCCCATGCATGTAGTTCTTAAAAGAACATACTATTCAAGGCAGATGTTATTTTTACTAATCAAGCAAACCTAGTGTGGTGCTGTGGGCTAATGCGTCAGACAGCAAAGTCATTTGAACTGCAAGGTCGGTGGTTCAAGCTCACCAGCTGCTCCTTGGAAACCCTATACAGGGTCGCTATGGGTCAGAATTGACTCAACGGCACGTCACAACAACGACATTGTTTCATTTTAAGAAAATTTCAGGGTATATTTTTGGCTTAAGAGTTAGATTTATTTTTAAACAAACAAAATTGTTTAAAGCTATCAATTTCCCCCTAAGCATAGTTTTATAACCAGTAAGTTTGGATATAACATTTGTTGGTTTCACTCCTCTCTTTTAAATAATACATGATTTCAATTTTGATTTCCTCTTTGAACCTGGAGTTAAGTGGAAGAAGAATATTAATTTCCCAATAATTAGAATATTTCAAAAAATCTTTTGTTGATTTCTTGTTGGAGTGAATGAAAGTAAAATATCTTTGGTTTGGGAGCTTTTACAACATTTTCTTTAATACCAAATATATGATTAATTTCTGTTGATGTTACATGCACGATGAAGAACAGACTATTTCAAAGGTGGCCCAAGAAGATAAAGTATTATAATGCAATGTGCAAAGACTTGGAGTTAGAAAACCTGCAGGGAAATGTGTGCTCAGCATTTCTCAAGCTGAAAGAACCAAAGAAAGAATTTGAATCTTGAGGTGTGATATTGAAGGATTCTATGGGGAAAAATATTGACCTACATAGGATGGTTGTCGGGGACTGGCCTCGACACGGGAGTTTTGTTCACTAGGTGGGGATATCTGGCAGCGATAGGGATAGCAGAAGAATACACAGAAAGACACGAAGAGAGAGACAAAGAGGCACCCTGAAACCAGGGTGGATGCATTACTGGCGTCTGGCAGATCAGGCGTGGTGAACATATGAGCCAGGAGGGCGGTAAGATCCCGCATAGTAAACATCTTAGCTAAGCGGGCTGTACTCACCCCTTACTAGCTGGTCAGTAAAGCATGCTTAGTCAGTCATATAGCACGCTCTTACCGCATGCCTGTAATGCACGGCCTGCAAGCCACAATGCATACTTGTACCACCTGCCTGTAATGCACACCTGGGCTGGCCTGTGCCTCTGTTTTATTTAGGGGAGGAGCTTCACACCAAGCTGGGAGGGACTAAGACAAGGTATAGCTAGCATACGTAATTCTCCAGACATTCAGGCAACTTTACATCGTACTTCGCTGGTTCGAATCCCAGGCCCGCAACTTGGTTTCTCAGGCCCAATTAACATATCTATAGCCCCTGAGCTCAGTTGGGAGAAGGTGAGAGGGAAGGTCAAAAGGTTTGGGAGGAGTCCTGCTGTGTTGGCTTCCTGAGCCAGGTTTGCAGGAAGACGTGAGACACCCAGGTGAATGGGCTGCACCTGGAAAAGGATTAGGGAAGATGTCCTTTTGTCTCTAGAACAAAGAACCAGGAAGTAGCAAAGCTATTTATAGTTACTCCTTTGGAGAAAAGCTTAACCTTTGAAACCTTTACAGTATCGGCTTAAGGAAAATATTATATTTATCTGTGGATATCAGGGCTTCATGTCTGCATTTAGTAAAAAACATCACTAGATACTAAGATGAAAAACAATTTTCCATAACTGCTAGGTGGCTAGAATCTGTTCCTCAGAGCCTGTGGCCTGCATTGTCTGCAACACTCGGGCCCAGTGGGCCTTGAACTTCTGACCAGCTTTGTACAGTCTGCAACAGATGTTTACAAAGAAGATGGAAGAAATTGTATATTGCTATATAAAAAAGAATTGGTCAATTTTCAGTCATTTTATGAAGTAGCATAAACCAGGGTACTAAAGTACAAAGTTCAAGCTATGCTGAAGGTATTGGCAATAAACAAAGTTCCAGGAGTTGATAGAATACGAATTGAGATGTTTCAGCAAAAGGATGTAATTCTAGAAGCTTTCACTTGTCTATGCCAAGAAGTTTGGAAGACAGCTACCTGACCAACAACTGAAAGAGATTCACATTTGTGTTTATTACAAAGAAAGGTGATCCAACAGAATATTGTTGTTGTTGTTGTTGTTAGGTGCCATCGAGTTGGTACCTACTCATAGCAACCCTGTGTACAACAAAATGAAACTCTCCCAGTCCTGGGCCAACCTCACAATTGTTGCTACATTTGAGCCCATTGATGCTGCCACAGTGCCAGTCTATATTATTGGGGATCTTCCTCTTTTCTTGAACCCTCTACTTTACCAAACATGATATCCTTCTCCAGGGACTGGTCCCTCCTGACAACGTGTCTGAAGTATGAGAAACAAAGCCTGGCCAACCTGGCTTCCAAGGAGCATTCTGGCTGTACTTCTTCCAACACAGATTGGTTTGTTCTTCTGGCAGTCCATGGTACTTTTAATATTCTCCTCCCACACCACAACTCAAATGCATAAATTCTTATATAGTCTTCCTTATTCACTGTCCAACTTCCACATGCATATGAAGTTATTGAAAATACCACGGTTTGGATCAGGCATACCTTAGTCCTCAAGCTGACATCTTTGCTATTCAACACTTTAAAGAGGTCTTGTGCAGCAGATTTGCCCAATGCAATACGTCATTTCATTTCTTGACTGCTGCTTCCATGAGTGTTGATGGTGGATTCGATCAAAATGAAGTCTGACAACTTCAATATTTTCTCCATTTATATGGATGTTGTTTACTGATCCAGTGGTAAGGATTTTTATTTTCTTTACATTGAGGTACAACCCATAGTGAAGGGTGGGTTCAAATTCACCAGCCACTTCTCAGAAATCCTATACAGTGTCCCTATGGGTCAGAACTGACTCAATGGTACTTAACAACAACAACAAATTCACTCTGTATGCTGAGCAAATGGTCAAAGAAAATGGACTGTGTAAAGAAGACTGTGACACCAAAATTGGAAGAAAACTCATGAACCATCTGCAATATGCAGATGATACACTCTTGCTTTCTGAAAACAAAGAGGACTTGAAGCACTTAAACTGATGAAGAACAAAGATTACAGTTTCAGTATGGACCACACCTCAACATAAAGAAAACAAAAATCCTCACAACTGGACCAATGAGCAGCATCATAACAAATGAAGAAAAGATTGAACTTGTCAAGAATTGCATTTTACTCAGATCCATAATTAATACCCATAGGAGCAGCAATCAAGAAATCAAACGATATGTTGCATTTGGCAAATCTGCTGCAAAAGATGTCTTTAAAGTGTTAAAAAGCAAAGTTGTCACTTTGAGGACTAGGGTTTTGCTAACCCAAGTCATAATATGTTCTGTCTTCTCATATGCATGTGAAAGCTGGACAATAAATAATGAAAACCAAAGAAAAGTTGATGCATTTGAATTACGGCATTGATGATGAACACTGAATGTATGAGGGTGAGTCAAAAATTATCCACACTCTGGCTGCAGAATTTATTTTAATCAACTTTTAGAAAAGACAACACATCAGTTTTGGACATAATCTGGCTTATAAATACACTTTGTCCATCTCTCAACAAGCTTTCGATGGTGTTGTTGTGCTGTGCAGTCGGTTCTGACTCATAGCGACCCTGTATAAGGTTTACGAGGCTATACATCTTTATGGGAGCAGAAAGCCTTATCTTTCTCCCGCAGAACGGCTGGTAGTTTCGAATTGTTAACCTTGTGGTTAGCAGCCCAACTCATGACCACTACACTACTTAGCAAGCTTTCCTATTCCCTTATTTAAAATATTTTAGGCTGATCTGGAAGCCACGAATGCACTTCTGACTTCACTTCTTCATCAGAGGTGAATCTTCATCCTCAAAGGGCTGCTTTCAGGGGACCAAACAGGTGCAAGTCTGATGGAGAAAGATCAGGGATATAGGGAGGATGCTTTAACTCCTCAAAATGAAGTTTTTGCAGAGTGTCAACAGTGTGGGCAGAGGTGAATGGTTGTGCATTGTCATGCAAGATCACAAGGCCCCTGGACAGCAGTCCTCTGCATTTAATCTGAAGTTTAGGCTTCAGCTCTTCACTGAGCATCTCACTGGAATGAGCACTGTTGGTTGTTGAAACTTTTTCCCTGGTTCTGTTCCAATACTGGCCCTTGAGAACCCCAGAAAACTATAACCATAAATTTTCCAGCTGATGGTTGACTTTTGAACTTTTTCTTGGTCAGTGATTAAGGATGCTTCCATTCCAAACTCTGCCATTTACTCTCAGGCTCCTAGTGATGAATCCAGGTCTCGTTACCAGTAATGATTTTTTTAAAGAAACTTTTACCTTCCTTCGAGTATCAGTCCAAACTTTGTCTGCAGTTTTCC